CTTACTTTGTTGTTTCAGCAACATTAAATTTAAAAACTGTACTTTTGAGTTAAAATATATATTTATAGTTTTAACAAATGACAAATTAAAAAAGCATGAACATTTTTTTTGTATCGAAAAAATATTGAACCGTGACACCAAAGTATCGAACCGAACCGTGAATTTTGTGTATTGTTGCACCCCTACTAAATATATTAAGTAAATTGGCCAATAAGCATAATAAAATAAGTGGATCTTAAGGGAAGTAAGTTAAAAATATCCAGCTAATAGTTAAATAAAATTGTGGAGAAATATTTAGCTGAAATGCAATTCATTAGAACGAGTGTTGAAGACAAAGGAGTAGTTCAAGTGTAACAAGGCTGTTGAGGTAGATCAGAAGCAAAAGATGGTGAACCGCCGTCAAAGATTAAAAGCAATCTCTTCTCGCTCCATTGTGACCATGATATTTAATCCAAACTGTATTATAAAGCTATTTTTTTAAGGCCTCAAGTGACTTAGATGCATTCATTCCTGATTTGATTATACGTTGTATTTGTGTTTAGAAAATAACTGCAGCTTGAAAGTGTCTTGAGTGGTATAGTCAAGAGCTGTACAGTTTGTGTTTTCCACCCCTTCGTCTTGGGATTTGCTAGCAAGCTGGCTGTCAGCAACGTGTGAAGAGAGAGGCCTTTACCAAAAAGGAGTTAGACATTTTAGCCTCTCCCCAGCCTCCGCTTCCATGGATACCATTCATCTTCTCTCTACATTCCTCCTCACTGTCAGATCATTTTCTTTAACTTGGACTTCTTGGTCTCTTGCTCTTGGTGGAATCTGCTCTGTAAGAGCAGAGGTAAACAATGCTCTGGTAATTTAGCCCACAAGTGCACATCATTAGATTCCCCGCTGAATACACTGACCACAGACGCAGTGAATCTGCTTTGGCACCGCATCGGCCCTTCCTTTTGTGCAGCTGAATAATTACATACATTCAGACAAAGTCTCGCCAACTCCCACCGTGGCCGTTGTCATCATTCAATGGCTGCCATAGCAATTAACTACTTTGCTTTGCATCTGAGTGCACACTTGTTTAAACATACAGCGTATGGGGGAGTGCGTGCACGAGTGCGAGCGTGTGCGTGCACAGCAACAACTGTGTGGTTATTTCCCAAGATGCCAGTCTTATTCAGGGATTTACTTTGCTTTGTTTCGCTCCTGACAGTCCTTTGTAATCTAGGCAGTAGAGACCAGCACAGTTTAGAAATGGAAATACATAGTCTGGGTTCTGCTTTAATAGTGGCCTACAAAAGATACCAGAAGCCTTAAGAACTGGCCAACACTGTGGGAGCCTGTCTCTCTATCTTCTTCCTGGCTGCATACTATCCTTACTTGATCTCTGTCATCTTTGATCAAAGCTGTTGGCGGTCACAAAGAGTCTGATGGACGGCTGTAGCTCGCTCTCCACGGGACCCGTGTCCCTGCTCTGTCCACATATACACTAAAAAGCTAGTGGACTATATTGATTTCCACTGGTCCGATGTACATGTGCACGTGTATATGTGCTGGTGTACATGTGCGTGTAGGGTAAATGCTGACATTCGAAAAGGACCATCTGGCTGCATTGTCCATGTGAAGCTAACCACATGGAACAATGAACCGTTGCTAATCTAGACCTATGCTCTGTTATCCCTTTAATTATTTTTTTTAACTTAATTTAATGTGCATTTTGTGCTGCTGTCACAGATGTTGAATTGGATGTAATTATCAAACAGAGCCATTGTGTCTCCGGCTGATGAACAGTATCGTGAATGTCAGGGAAAAGCTCGGTTTCACTCAGCATGCTAGTCGTTTTTCCAAAGCATTTTTTCCTTAGAATATCAATGAGAGTCAATTTACTAGGTAATAACTAAACAGGCATCCGAGCAGGTCGAGGCAAGAGCTGAGGCCTGCTGCCTGTCAGGAATATTACTGTAGGCTCACACAGCAAGGCCAAATTCCATAAAACTTGGTGGAGAGGTGGAGCACGGGTAAAGGAAGTACTCGTCAGATTTTGGTGCAAATTCTGAACGCTTGCCTTAAACTAGCAAAAAGGTGCAATGGCCTTGGTGGAGGTTGTGCTCCGACTTTGTGTTATTTACTCATCGTTTAAAAAACTGCACCTTTTCTGACATATCTGTGGACGGGTATATGTGTGCCACCAGTACAACCAATGTTTTCTTAAAGCCAACTGCATATTAAAAGAGGGACATCTAATATTTGATTACATGGGGATCAAAGGAGTATGTGTACATGTCCTAAATCATTTAGTGTGTGATGCTCAGTGCTGGATGAGACTTCCTTGCTTCACTATTCTGTTTAATTGAACGTAATTGCATCGAAGTTGCGGAGCGCTTGAAGTTCCAACCAGAACATATTAGCTGGACAAGCCGTCTGAGCTAAACCCTTGCATAAGGGACATCCTTAAAAGGCACATGCTGTGCCGTTTTATTAATCTAATCTTTTACATTGCGTTAAGTCACACGCTGAACTGAAATACTATCATCCAGCTGCTTTTGCCTGGGGACAATTCAGCAATGCTTATGCAAACAGCATAGTCGCACGTCCTCACTATTGACATGGTGAGGACGTGCGAGAAGAGACTTCTTCTGTGTGATCTACATAAGGGGTGTGCTTTTAAAAATGTATAGATGGATGGATTTGTATATGTGTAAATGCTTTAATGCTGCGGCTAAACATTTGCACATTCATGTTACTGTTATTAAGGTTAGTGAGGATTTTATAGACTTTATATGTGCACTAAAGCTGGAAT